AAGCATATGAGTAGTATATTACAATATGTATAACGAGTAAACACATCTCAAGACTCACAACCATGTCAATGACGTTGATCATGGAGGCATAAATAAAACGTGTATATGCTTTTCTTAAGAGGTGGGACAGTCACGGGCAAAATGCATTCACATTCATATCGCGTGTATACGGCTGTACACGCTACATTCACATCGTGACATGAGGTATTGTTCACACGAAAGATTTGTTTCCTCACTTCTGCCCACACATGCCCGCCTGCATGAGGGCCGATGATGTAGTTACTGTAGGCTAACGCACAAGGTCTACTTGTATGAAATTGATTCAATATGTTTGGAGGTGTAATTATGGCTCGTGGAATTACTGTATTTTAGTGGCATGAGTTTGGCCGCTATATTTACCCATTAAGATGCTGTGCAGCCAAAAACTGTTCTTCCCGCAGCACAGTAGTCGCAACATATGGGGCTATATGCCGACAATGAACTGTTCACTCGGTGGGAATGTAATGTAAAGTTTACAATGTTTACGCGTTTCAAATTTGAAATGAAGATTTATCAAATTAAACTCTGTTTGATATTTAGGAAATGTAAGCATACAAAATATACCCTAGTGTTGTATTCCTGATGATAAAAAAGGTATAACATAAAATTAGTAAAATAATAATTAAATAATTCCTTCATTTAGGCCTTTTCTCGTTTTTTCCCCTCTCTCTCGTTGTGTGTCCAGATGATGAGAGTGGTCTGGTATGTACAGTATTGTATCCATAACCCGAGCAAAATTCAAGGCATATGTGTAAAATAAATATTGTGTGGCATGTTTTGTATTGAGGAATTATAATGTTTGAATGTTATACTGCACCAGTAAAATTGGCGCAGAGCTTGCAAATTCACAATAAACGGGACAGGGTTATTAAGGTAGCATATTTTTAAGTTGTTGTATGTCGAAAAAGTAATTGTGATTTTAAGTTACAGTGATTTTATTTTATATTTTCACATCTATTTGGCATTGCTTTTTCAACATTATCAGTGGAAAAATATTTACCATAAACAAAACGTTTGAAATACATCTATGACATTTCAATGATTTGCTCAACCAGAAGTTTTTACAAATATTACAAACGAATTTATATTTGAAGATAAAAATGCACATTATACTTTTATTTTTGTAATTTGCAGGAAAATAAATTCCATCGATGGAATTTGCTGAAAAATGCATTAAAATTTGTTTTAAATGGCAGATGAATTCCGTGAAATCTGGTACTAAACTATATTACATCTCGTGACAAGCCTCTTGTTCACACACGTCGCATGTGTGAGGGTGGCCGTGAAGCAATCGTTTTGGCAATGCCGTTATGAACCCGAGTCACCAGTATTGCATTCTCGGGCCACTTTTAAACATTGTTGGCGAGAGATATCTAATTCGGCCTTGTGGGCCCTCACTGACCAGCATGGTAAAGTTCAATCAAACACTCCCTACGACACAGAATAGGGAGGTCTCCATTCTTCCATCAGTGGATTGAGGGCTGTAAGTTATTTATTAACCAGCATATATTATACATATACTGTGTTTTCTGTTACGTAAGATACGTTTCTTTCAATGACCCAGCCTCATTAGTGTTGCGAATAGCCGTTATATATCATGTTAAATGCTATACTTGTAATGTCCACAAAAGTTGTCCTGCTCTTAGCACAGTTGTCCTACATTGCTATAAATTCTGACTTGTGGGGCTGTTCTCTGCACCTCATCAGAATGTTTGTTTTTTCTTGGACATAACCACTGAAGTTCTCCCTGCAAAGAACCGTGCCTTGGTGTAGTTTCTTTGGGTGGATTAGGGCTCCACGTAGATCATTAACAAAGTGTTTCAGTATGCAGTGAAACCCCAAAAGAGTTCCAGACAGAGCATATAAACGGAATGTAATGACAGCTGTATTTTGGATATAATCTATGTAGGGTTTTTTGTTGTTGTTGTTGTTTTGGATCCAACTGAAGTTGATGTCTCCGTACATTGTGGTTCGCAACCCCAGTGTATCGTGAATGAAAAGTAGAGACTTACGTGGGTTACGCATATTAAATAGGTCACCAAAATCACTACTCCCGTATATAAAGCGGCAATCTTAAAAAAAAACAAGCCTAACGTTGAAATTGACGTCACCCGTTTATAATCCTATATTTAAAAAAAAACTTTGATTGTCTCCAATGTTTGTACTCTGTTTATGCATGCACCGCCTTTGATGTTTTCTAAATGGCTAGTGCTTAGATGCCCTGCCATTTACCGACCCTTGTTGTGTTGAAAAGAAAAATACTTACATGCTAAGTTGCTCTAAGTTCTTAAATAACACACGTAGCTTTCAGCGAATTGTTCAGAGGAGAATGTCATGAATCTTTAAGTGGTTTGAGGAGCAGCTGCTTGTGATTAAAATGTCACTATAATTAAATGGATTTTCAAATTTAACTCGGCATGTGGTCATGCTGATAGCATTTTGTTGCTGTGCATGAACAAAAAAAGATGTAAACTTTTACAAAGTATAATGTTACGAAGGTGTTTATGAATAAATGTATCGACACACAAAGGTGCTGGCATTTCATCTATACAAACTCTGTCTAATCCAGACCACCACGCAATTCACACATGTATGTACCGTTACATCGACTTGTTTCCAGCCTGCATACGTGTTCCTGCTGTGATGGGATTTCCCGTCATTTACAGATTTAAGATATGTCAGTGCAACACGTTTCACATTTGCTTAAAATGATCACGTACATATAGTGAAATGGTAAAGGCGCAGCCCTGCAATGTCTTACTCACGCCACTGCTGACATAGGGCCTTCGCTAGAGCACGCTATAGCAACCCTCCCCCCTCCCCCAAAGGGTATATGTGGCATGTTGCGGAAATAAGCAACTGATTTTGGAACAGCGACAGCATTTATACATTGATGTCTAGGTTCTTTAACCATTCAATGGCGTTGGCTGTGAGCTGGAGAATGTCTTCGGTGCCTCCATTAAAACGATCGTGATGGGCAGCAGTTGACATTTCCATTGTTAGTTTTGCTCTGCAGGTGAAAACTGTCTTTTTATCTGCCACTTGTATATACGATGAGGGTGTCGGCCCATCTTTAGAGTTTAGCCACAAACGGGGTGGTTTGGTTCGGGTCTTTGTTGGTCATTTGTTGATCCCTCGACTCCGTTGGTTATCTGTCCACAGGGCGATACGTTGCAATGGCCATAATAATGTTTTTTTTAGTTAGTTAGATCGCGTAAATATAAATGTATCCAATTTTGATTTAAAGCTTTCGTGACTGCAGTAATTCATATTCTTAGCTCTTTTGGTAAAGTCACGTTGAAGGGAAACAATCAAATAATAAAATATATATAACAATAAAAATTCTCACGACGTTTCGACCATAACGTCGTGAGAATTTGTATTGTTTTATTTTTATTTTATTATTTTATTGAATATATTATTATTATTTTATTGAATATATAAATGTGTCGTTAAAACCCACCACCACCCGACACAGCCAATTAGTAATGTTTGTCACGGAAACAAAACGTGCCAATCAGTTACTACTCTCTGGTTCTGTCGGTAACGTGAGTTTACGTGAGTTTACCGAAAGAACCAAAGAGTATGAATTCGATTGAATTAGTTACTACTTCAGCACACACCGGTCCGTTGGGAGATTGAACCCACAGCATTCACGAGTCGAGTGGGACGTTTCGCTGGGTGATCACGACCAGCCTCACCGGGCGATTTTGCCAGAATTCGGCTTGTGAAAGCCCCACGCGTTACAACTTGCGCTGTAACGCTCCCGGCCGTGTTTTTTAATTATTTTTGAGTCACTCGACAAGAAGAGCGCCGTTGATATCAGAGCACGGGGAGGGCGCCGCCGGTTCGAGATCGTGGCGAATTCGGCAGTTAGGAGACTCGACGTTTTTCTCCCCCCCCTGCCCTGCCCGTCCTATTACACGAATCGCTGTTTGTCCACGCTCATCGATTGTGGTAGCGGCGGCTGCGGCGGCGGCGGCGTGCAATTTGACAGCACGGGGGGAGAGCCCACTGGAGCCACGCGTGTTGGAAGAGGCGGAGTGGAATGTCGGTAGCGTAATGTTAAAGGTGCAGAGGTGCAGGGCAATGTGCGAGTTGCTTGCATGTATGTTGAACTTCTTTCGCACCGTACGTAGCCGGTAGCCGATCGTGCTATTCGGAGGTGCGGCGGCTGGGAGGTGGTGGTGGTGTGTGTGAAGAGAAGGCCAACAAAAACTAAACACAAGCAGCAAGATTGTTGACTATCAACACGCAGCGGTGACTTCACCCATGTGTTTCGGGGGACGGACGTAGCGCCCTGCAAGAGGGCACGCTCGTGACCGATCGTGTCTCCGGACAACTGCAGGAGGAGGTCACGACGAAGAGACACACAAGGATGGTGCCTCACCGTGGAAGAGCTCTGAACTGAAACGGCGTCGCAGTGGCTCAGCGGAGAGGCGCGGACAGGCAAATTTCTCTAGCTCTTTAAATTGTGTAAAAAAAAAACACTCCTACAGCGTCCGCTTGATCGCGCATTGCGAGGAATAATATGCGCGGGTGTCATTATTGTGCTGACGTCAAATCCGCACCGCGCATTCTCTCTCTCTCTCTCAAAATTATTATAGCGCCGATTAAAATGTGACGAAGGGCCCGCATGGATTACGACGCACGGACAAGCGTGTTCAAATGCAGATTGAACAAATTGTGATTTGGCTAAACAAATGCTGAGTGGTGTAATGTAAACATATTCAAGACTACATTGAAGCCATTTTTTAAATATATAAACAACTGTGCATGTGTATATATATCCTTGGTTCTTTCGGTAAAGTCACGTAGAAGGGAAACAATAAGATATATATAAAACAATAATTTTTTTACGACGTTTTGACTGCAACACAAGCAATCATCATCAGGTGAGAATTGTATTGTTTCATATATATTTATTATTTTTATTTTATTGTTTCCCTTCTACGCGACTTTACCGATAGAACCAAGAATATGAATCCCTGCAGTCACGAAAGCTTCAAATCAAAATTTAACTGTGCATGTATTTCAGACAATTCAAATGCATGCCTCAGACATGAAAAGCGGTTCAACAATTAGGAAATGTGCACCGAATAGCAAGCCGTGTACATGCACGCCACACTTTCAAACAGACCAAGAAGACTGCCGTTTGGATTCAACAGTGATTAAGAGTAATTTGGGCGGCTCTGAGTGGTCGCATATTATTTTTACACACATGCCCCAGGTCTGGATCTCATTTCCGCATTTGCTATCGCTTTCGTGCGCACAAAAAAGAGGGCACATGGCTCGGAATCAAACACGGTCTGTGGGCTGAAGCCTCACTTGGTATCCAGTGCAGTATTCAGCAGACAGTGGCTGTGGGCATTATTTCTTCACTGATGGGGTACCACTTATTATAGCAAAAGCAAATAATGACATAAGCATTTACAGAATGTGTATGTTCATTAAATAAACGCATGCTTGTTTCTTTTAATTAAATAAATAGTGCAATTGTAAGATTTTCTAGTAATGGAAATAATAGGCAATGCTTTTACTGACTTCTCAAGAATGCAAAATACATGACTGGCTTCAGTACAGAATAGCATATTACAATATGACGTTTCAGCCGCAATATTTTCCTTTCTCGTGTGTTCTTTTGTGATGTATTTCCCCCCACTAATATTTTATTAAATCATGAATAATCTCCGTCTCTATTAGCACGGTTGGCTACGTACGGTGCGAAAGAAGTTCAACATACCTACATAATCATGCGTGCACATGTATACAGCATCCACCACTGTTTGGTTTGCCAGGATAATGAATCGCAATTATTTGGATCGTGGTACGAGGTTAAAAGGTCGTTAAATTGCTTTAGACTATGCTTCAAATTATACACTTCCATGATTCACGGGTGATTCGCTGTAAGTAATCGCGTTTGCTGACCGCGCCTTCCCCCGCTGGTCGACCTGATAAACGCGTGCACTTTTCCATCTGGGTCCGGTCCTGGCCACTTGGTCAATGGGAATTTTTTTTTGTTCAAATAAAAAAACCCCCCCACCGAATTCCAATTGCGAGCCATCATCGACCAGAGCAAAGCAAAAAAAGAAGAAGACTGGGAATCAAATCTGCGTTCTCTTCGGCGAGCTGTACATCACAGCAGTTGGACAACAGTGGGCGGGCTTGACGCTATAGGATTATAAGGTGTTTACAGGATCTTATAAAACCCGTGAAAGGAATAGAACTGGCCTGACCAAGCTGCAGTTCTGAAATGAAATTTAAGAGCCCCGGGGGACACAGAGGCGTGCGTATAAAACCGTGGGATTTGCAGTGGGAAGACCAAAGCGGTGAGCACCATCCGACGGAGGGCTACTTGAATTCCGCTGCGGAGGCTGCATGAGACTTCTCAATTCAGACATCTGGTCATCCGCAACGATAAGCGCGTAACTGTGACGGCTCCGCTCTTGTTGGGTGAGTTCACGAAAAAAAGGTATTGTTTGATTTTGTCTATTCTGCTTTGTTAATATTTAAAGTTGATCCACAACACGGATGTTTATATGATCTACATTAAGATTTTTTTTATATAAAAAACATCTATTGGAGTCTACTTTAACTTCGGAAGATCTTGAATGACGTTTTATTTAAGATAATAATACTGGTAGGAACGAAGGTGTAAACTGAGTGTACCAGCCTGCAATAGATTAATGTGTCCGTCCGTCCCCTTTCAATACTTTAACGAAGTGAAATCTCGTGCTGTTGGGGTGTAAAAATAAAATTGCGCAAAATTCCAATGTTCCTACCAGCCCACCCTGCAGGAACCTGTTATATAATACTTAATATACCCTATTTGTTAATGATAGATTGTTTAAGGAGTACTATCAGTTATTTTGTACATGAAATAACATTTACATGAAAGTTTAATATTTTATTCCATATTATTTGTGTAAAATTAATTATTTTTTAAATTATAATTTAATGAGGTGAAACCAAAAGTACGTGCATGATCCATGTTAAAAAGTCACTTTGTATAAAGTAAAACAAATATGTTAACGTTTTAGAATGTTGCTTACTTATATTATACAAATTTTGATACATATAGTTGTTTCATCCTACAAGTGGTTACTGTATGTGTTTTTAGCTTATAAATGTGCAACTTCAGAGATCTTTTGCGGTCCGAAATATGCTTCTTGGACGTCAACAGAGCTGTAACATTTGATGCAAGCTTTGAGCAGCATCTGGCTTTGTGGGAACACACGTGTCATTGATATCGTACGAAAAAAACGAACTCTCTTTCAATGCTTTCACTGTGCTTACAAATCTGTGCATGCGATACAAATGGAGCAAGGGATACTTTGGGTTAATATTAAATTAAGGTATTCCGCGGTGTGAAGCAGTGGCGCGAATGGTTCGCGTAGTGCTCCGTGAACCTGGCAACCTGAATTCAATTCCCGGCTACAAATAACGTCAGTGTCAGGTGACATCTGAACCACTCCTGGGTCCCCACTTCACCAAACTGGAACTGACTGCATGATTAAGTATGGTCAAACAACATCTGTGAATGACATGGAATGTCTTCAGCCATCAGTAGATTGACATTACGCATACTATTACCATAATATACCTTATTGTAAAAAAGTGCAATTGCATGTAGCCAAATCACCCAATAATGTCTTTACAGATTATACCATGGGAGTGTGTCTTAGTGTGTCACGAATGGATCAACAAATCGCAGACTGCAGTCGAACGAGTCCAACCAAATGCAGCTTTCTCAATGCTGCAACATACCCCTTACCTTTGTGTATGTGCAGGTGGGCAATACAGCTGTGGCGTTACATTCTGCATGAGAGATTAGAAGACATCCGGGTCCACACGTTGCAACAGGACCTACAAGCATGGGGGTGGTCGGGGCGCTACTGCTGTCCTGCGCATGCCTCTTGGCCACCGTACTAGGTGGGAAAAGGACGCCACGTGGCCAATTATTCCAACGCGGATTTTATTGCGTCATTAACTAAACGCGATTGGCATATTTTCATGATTTTTATTAACAACGCGTTTGCTACGTTTCACTCCGGTTTCCTAACAGGTGTGTATCTGCTTGTGTATACGATATATTTAGATGCATTTGTAGACACGTTGTGTGTCGGTGTGTGTTGATAAAAAATGGTCATTGTGCTTTCAGGATCTCGGATGAGTGGTCCCAAGGCTTCTCAGAACCAGGCCATGTTAGTGCAGAGCAAAAACTATCCGAACATGCTGGAGAACCATGGTATGTCCCAGGACCTGATCCCAAGCATACACTCACGTACAGGCACGATTGTCTCGGGTTCCCACCTTCGAGGTAGAAAACAACAGAACATATCATGAAAAGGATAATATCTAACAATACCTTAAGAGGAGATAAATATATGCCTACATGTAAATGCATGGTCCCGAGTGGTTTATCATTACGCAATTGATAAAAAAACCGTGACTTATAATGTCCCGGGAAGACTTACAGATTTCCCAGTAGAGCTGCCTAAAAAAATGAGGATGATCCTGAAACAACCTGGACAGGGTGGCAAACATACTCGTGCCCCATCAACGCATCATTTGGCAATGGCGAAATTGCTGCGGTGCGCTTGTGACCCTGTGCAGGCTACAGCGAGTGGACCTCGTGGTTTAACATTGACCACCCGGGTGGGAGCGGCGATCACGAGCGGCTGGAGGCAATCCGGTTCTACTACCGCACGCGCGTCTGCCCATCTCCACTGGCTATCGAGGCGCGCACCACGGCGTGGGTGCCAGCTGCCAGCACGGGCGAGAGGGTGCACATGAGTCCTCAAGAGGGCTTCTGGTGTCTCAACCACGAACAGCCCGGCCAAGCGAATTGCTCCAATTACCACGTGCGCTTCCGCTGCCCAATCGGTATGGCGCTTCATCACCACCACCGTCACCATCATCGACATCATGAACATTAGCGCCACTGTTACATCGGTACCATCATGTTTATTATCAGAGTCGATAGTCACAGTTGGGGCCCAGGGCTGTTGTAGTTTTGGGGGGGGGCCCTCTTTTAATATTAAACTCCTTCCTTTCACTGTTGGTCGACCAACCATGCCTGATGATGCCCAACACTCCGTTGTTATTCACATTATTTCAGTTTTGGTTTTTAAATGTGATATGTACAAATTGTAGAGCTAAATAAAAGTAAAAACGAAACTATGTTAAATTTGGTACATAATTGGCTGTAATCCACCTAGTGATGCTATGGCTTCCATCACCAAATTACCTCCATAACACAGTTTTTTTGGGTTAGATCACGTAAATATATAAATGTGTCATTAAACCCGCCACCACCCAACACAGCCAATTAGTAAGGTTTCTCACGTAAACAGAACATGCCAATTCGTTACTTGTACAGCACACCGGTGTTTTGGAGATCGACTCCACAACATTTACAATCTGAGTATGACGTTTCACTAGTTATTACAACTAGTTTCATCAGGCGACAGGCAGATTTGTGTCGGGTGGTGGCGGGTTTAACGACACATTTATATATACGCGATATAACCCAAAAAACTGTACTTATGGATGGTACTGGTCGCGAAAGCCGACGTGTTAAACCAAATTACCTATTGGATTTATCACGATGCCACAATCACTGTGTTTGAACCATGATGCAGCTTTATAAATATATTATTGCGGAAACCCTCGAAGCTAGGGCTGCAGCCCTTAAAGTTGCTGCAAAAAGCCAGCCCCTGATCACGCAGCGGCGTCACTCTCGAGTGTGCAGGCCATGGACCAGGGCCCATGGTCCCTTTGGCCTGAGGGGCCGAGAAACCGGGCCACGATGAGTGGGTTGCAAATTCGACATGCGGCCCCATTTACTTCCATGCACCATTGAACAGTTTGAACAATTTATTTAACAGGTCCCTGCAGGGTGGGCTGGTAGGAACATTGGAATTTTGCGCAATTTTATGACATTGTTACTTCCAAATGTTGGGTGCAATAAGACATATCAAGTCTCTGCGCTGTCTATTGCTGATTTTATACCCAACAGCACGAGATTTCACTTCGTTAAAGTATTGAAAGGGGACGGACGGACGGACACATTAATCTATTGCAGGCTGGTACACTCAGTTTACAACTTCGTTCCTACCAGTATAATTGCCCTGTGAGCTAAGAAGCTCTTGAATCGGGTGCCAACCAAGCTAACGTAACGCAGAGCGAAAACGCCGCTTTCCGTCTGATTTATGCCGTGCTCATAATCCACCTCCGATTTCTCGCACCTCCGATTGTCATGCTTGGCTACGTATGGTGCAAAGGAAGTTCAACATGCATGCATACATATGTAATGACATGGTGACACCTGCTGGCCGCGAAAGGGAAGCACGGGTATGGGCATGGTGAAAGTAACCAATCAGAGAAGGAGGTGTATCTGGGGGCAAAGGTAACAGGTGGAGGTTAGCCGATGTACTCCGGGAACCTGCTCGAAGGTTCCACGAGAGGGCGTGGCCAGAGGCGGGGCCTAGCCACGCCTGGGGGGATATAAGGGGGAGCGGACCCGGGGCTCGGGGTTCGCGTGTGGGGTCTTGGGTCCTGGCTGAGTCGCTGCTCGCCGAAATCTCTCTCCGTCGTCCGACCACGTGGAAGATCTCCTGCGGGGTTTCCATCGCCATCCTCGTCACGCCGCCAGCCAGCGGCGTAGCCGAGTGAGGCCGGGAGACTACGCCGAGTGATCGGCCGTGCGCGTAGCCAGTAGAGACGTTAATATCTAAAGTGTTGTACTCAGGGCGAGAAGAATAAGTGTTGGCGTGTGTTGTGCCCAGTGTGAGAAACAGAAGAAGAAGTACCCTCGATGCACATGCATGCATCTGGGGCAGGCGCGCGCTTGTGTCATTGATGCAGACAATGTCCTTCCTTGACCGTGCCGCCACACTCCAGTGGACAAGAAGTGGTCCGACTGGGGCTCCTGGAGCTCGTGCAGCGCAAGCTGCGGTCGCGCCGGCTACCAGACGCGCAGCCGGCTCTGCGTCTCTACGGGAGCCATCGTTCCGCAGAGGACGCAGTGCGAGGGCAAGGGCGTGCAGGGTCGCCTGTGCTCCAAGACATGCCCAGGTGGGTGCTGCGCGGTCGAAATATTTCTGAGATGTGTCTCTTTTTTGGGGGGGGGGAGGGGGCAGGATAATTGATCAGAATGCGAAGTGTAAATGGGGATTTTTTTGTTGTTGCTGTTACTCGACAAATATGATTCGCATAGCTGGGGAGGCTTTCCCCGGCTTGTGAACGCAGTTGATTTGCTCTGCACCGGCAATGGCTCCTGGTTCCCTGAGAATAGTCTAACATGAGGTGCGCTGTTGATTTGCAGCCGTTCACGGAAATTGGACGACCTGGAGCAAGTGGTCGCTGTGCAGCGTGTCGTGCGGGAATGGGCAACAGCTGCGCCAGCGATGGTGCTCCAACCCCGCACCCAAGTACGGGGGGCTGGACTGCACGGGGGCCGCCCTGCAAAGCCGCTTGTGTGCCAAACCTACCTGTCCAGGTACAGTGCTACGACCTTGCTCACAAAGCGCCAGGCTCTATTAGAACAACAAAAAAGTTTGGCTGGCTGGCGGGCGGGCGGGTGGGAATGTGCTCGCTGGTGATGTCACCGCGCATATTTGGACGATGACGCCGCCCGCATCTCAGAGCGTTGAGCCCGGGGTTCGAGTGTGCAGACCGTCACGCATATTTATGCTGCCTGGTGGACAGCGGTGGGGGGGGGGGGGTGAAAAAACATGCAAAGTTGTATCAACTGCCTTGAACTTGACACCTCTGAATTGTCCGGTGTGATAACCATCCCACCGTGGCAGCATCTCTCCAACCTGTTGTATTGACTTATATTCAGTGCTTTGTATTTTCCTATATTGATGCGATGATGAATGAAGCTGTGTAAATGAATTGATGCTTAAGGCGGTTGTTTGTTGTTGCTGTACTTATTCAAAACCTGCCTCAGAAACGGTCACAAGGAGAATGGTGTCTGCTCACAAGCCACCAGCACCTCTGCCAACTCCAGCGAATAAGCCGGGTAAATAAAGTAAATACCTAAAAAAACTCTCTGAATGAAACACGTATTTATAAGTTAACTATCAAAACAAATTCAAAACATTAATTCGTGAATGCTTGAGCAATACATTTTCCCATTATACATTTTGTTGACTCTTTTGTAATTTTATGAGACCTCCTTTGCCAGAAACAAGATATAGGAATAGGTTTTACCCTTTTAACTGGCACAAAAACTGACACCTTTATTCAAGGCATATTATTATCAGAGTTGTCTTTTTGTTTGCATTTTGACTGCTTGTGTTGTGGTTATTGCAAACATGATGCCTTGAATAAAGGTGTCAGTTTTTGTGCCAGTTAAAAGGGTAAACCCTATTCCTATATCTTTTGTTATTTTCAATATTTTTTAAACATTTCCAAATTTAGATTGAAAGTGTGAATGTATTATTAGTACTGTCTGCCCGTCTGTATCTCTTGCCTATCTGTCTCTTAAGGCGGGTACAATAACATTTTAAAAGGTGATCCAATATGAACACAAATTTAGTGTAAAGTTTTGTTATATTTGTGTAGTGTTCGATTTCACTCGGACAACTTGTCTTTCTCCGAACACCGCTTTATTTACAACTCTCAGCATGTCCTCCACATTCCACAGTGTCCTGGTCGCCACGGCTCACCACCTTTGTCTCTCCACTCCCCACGATTACTTCGCTTACTCCGCCGCTAACTTCTTCGTCTCCGCTCTCCGCTATCACCGTCGCTGTGTTCTCTCCACTGCTAACTACTTCGTCTCTGTTCACTGCTATCACCGTCACTATGCTCACTCCACTGCTGGCTGTTCTCGTCTTCAGCTCCGCTACCGCTACGCTCTCTCCACTGCTGGCTATTTTCGTCTTCAGCTCCGCTATCGCTACGCTCTCTCCAAGCTCTCCACTCTTCAATCCCCCGCTGTTGACTCCAACTTCAATTCCCCCGCTGTTCACTCCAAGCTCCCCAACTTCAACCACCTCCGTCTCCAAGCTCTCCAACTCCAACTCTCCCGCTCCAATTGCCGATCCCCCAATTTATCCCCGCTCTCATTACCCCCAATTAATTAGTCCGCGTCCCAACGGCACTCCGCGTGACCGTACACTTGTTTCTCCTCCAGACCTTTAGGCGCCACTCTAGCCTTGGCAACAGCTCCAACCAATCACAGCCGTCCACGGCTCTCCCAGCTTAATTGCCCTAAGATAACCTGCACTGTATTCGCCTTCACTACAGGCTGACCCAAGATAACCCGTACTGTCTGTATGATCATGTAATCACGCTGTTTGTACTACGCACCTTCCTACTCCACTACATCTGCAAACTCTTTCCAAAAATGGAAAGATTGATCGAAGGGTTCCCCAAAATGTGGAGGGCATACACCATCAACAGTAGAGCCACAATTCAAGCCATGATTTGTCATGGCAGCCAACGGAAAATAACTCTCATAGAGCAGATCAAATATCAACGAGATTTTATTGTTAAGTTGTTTTGCTTTTAGGGACGGACCGTATACCTCCGATTAGTACGGTTAGCTACATACAGCGTGTATTTTTGACATTTGGCTCCTGAACCTTTTTGCCGTATGCAAGAATAGAGTAGAATTAGTATGTATGTTGAACTTCTTTCGCACCGTACGTGGCCAACTGTGCTCATCGGAGGTGTTGGGGAAGGACAACAGACCAAACACAAAAAACGGTTAGAAAGAAATGAATTTTCAATATAGATGATTTAAAAGTGCATAGCTTCAGTGGATTCCTAATATTGGAAGGAAGAGCGTTCTAGACGGCCGCAGATGCACATCTGACAGCGCGCGACGCCATGACCGTCTTTGTTTGATGGTTAGCCAAAAGCCACTGCCAGGATGATCAGAGTTTGCGTGATGGTTTACCTTTAAAATTAGAAGTTTTTATTTTATTTTACTCGGTATTGCCCACTGAGCTATATAGCTCTTTTCCAGAAGTGACCTGGACACAAATGATAGCTCAACAAAGTGGTTTATCACGTGGAAATTTCTAGCAGCCAAATACTCTAAACACATTTTTCTAAATGTGGAGGGAAAAACCAAAAGACCCGGAGAAAAATCCACGCGACCACAGGGAGAGAGAGAGAAAACACACCAACTCCAAGTATACAGCATGCGTCAAGGTTGGAATCGTACCCACGACCTCCTGCATACCAGGCGAGGGAGTTAACATCTCGACACCACGGCACCCTTTCCACGCTCTTCTCCCCATGCTGTCGCAGCATGCAGTCTGGCCTGCACCGTGGGGCACGTGAACGCGGCGTGCGACGCGTGCGTGTGCGACGGTCACCTCCTGGACGGAGCCGTGTTCGGCGCAGCCCGCACCCCGCTTGCCGGGGCTCGGGTCACACTGCTGGAGGGTCTCTCTCAGAGGTGGCTCGCCGTGTCGGATGCCCACGGATCTTTCCGCGTGCCGGATGTGTGCCCGAGCCGAGGGGCACGCCTCGCGATCGAGCACGACAAGCACGTGCCGATGACGGCGCCAATCCTCTGGGCCCAAGGGCTGTCGACCGTCTTCAGCGTGCAGCTGAAGCGCGCGGGTGAGCTTGCGCGAACCTTTGCGAGTTTGTGACGCCAGTCAGCAGCGTGACCTCAACGAACTTTGAGCGAACGTTTAGCAACACCACTGTTCAATTTTACACCAAAAGTTTTTGACTTAACTATAAGAATTAAAAATGGGGTCATGAGCATTCAGTAGGGAGTCCTCAGTCCCCTGCATCCGCCCCTGCCACTACGGGACAAACATATGACAATTTCTCCATTCCCAACAATGACGAAACTAACCAAGTTGATCTATTTTAGCCATTTCGTAAAGATGTGCATTTGTGTGTTAGCGTAAAGATGTGCATTTGTGTGTTAGCTTCTACTCATACAACATTGGCTAAACACTGACAAATGCAGTGTCAAAGGAGTTAGAATGACTGCAGGATTATCATTAACATCCACGATGAATTCACTGCAGGGTGAAGACGACCCCCATGTTGTCACCACCCTTCGTGGTCTTGACACGTCATTATCCAACTGACTTCTGCACATGACCTAATCTCATCTTCGTGGTGATCATACTGCTGGGCATGTCACCTCTAGCAATTACTATTTTGTTATCAGTCTTGTCCAAAGCCCACTTCACTTGTCTTAACTATCAATGATGATGTCTCTCATTTAATTTGCAAGTTTCGAAATCTTTTCTGGTATATTAACCAGCCCGCATTCACCGGTCTGGCGAAGTATGGCCATTGATTCTTAACCACATTTCCCAATCCCCAGAAAACAGGGCCCTGTGGTCGGATTCGATAGGTGAAGGAGGAAGGGGTGCTATTAATAACATTGCGTGGAAGATAACCAGTAATGCTGGGTTGAATTATCTTAGACCTCTGTAGACTATTTTTTTAATGTGAACGCGTATAGGTAATCATAAAAACAAAGCTATTTGTTATCCAGTTATAAAACCTTTTAAGTCACTCAGTGGATTGGACCAGGTAAGGGAATGGAATAATATGTACTATATTAGGAATGTTTTAGCAAGAGTGCATTTCGTTTTTCCATGGGGAAGAGACATATCGAAATAAAAACATGATGTAAAGTATTCTATGGTTCTTTCGGTAAAGTCACGTAGATAGAAAAATAATAACAATAAAGTAATAAAAATGAAAAGAAAGTGAATAAAAAATAATAAAATATCACGACGTTTCGATCGCATCACAAGCGGTCGTCATCAGGAGCAGGTTGGGAAATGCCATTCTATTAACTGCAATTTCAACTACATATGACACAGAGCCCCACATTGCATTATTCACGGCATAAGTTGTGTATTTCCTCTCCGACAGTGGCAACCTTACGCACATCATATCAGTGCGTATTTTAATGAGGTTTGTGTGCTCTGCCAGAAAAACCACACATCACCAAACACCCAGAGGGCAGAATGCGCTACGAAGGACAAGGCGTGAGTTTGTGCTGTAAAGCGGAGGGAACGCCAACGCCAGAAAAATACTCGTGGTAAGCAACGTTACTTCGTGCGCACATAAGACATGCAGTAAAATCGTGACCTCTTAAAAGTCTATAATGTCGATTGAAGGAGTACAATTAAGAGGAAGAATACAACAACAAAAATAATGGAGGTCCGGCCCATACTTCCAATTTCTGAATTGCGCCCTAATCCATCAACTTCAATCGCTTTTTCTGCGCACTCGTGATAACGTAGGTTATACTAGTTGCGCGTTTATTAATGTACTTATTTACAATCATTTTACGACCACCGAAGACGACTTAAGAGATTGGTGCCGGAAAGATGTGCACTGCTCGAGAATAATGGCGCAAGACAGAGGAAAGTGGAAACAAATAACGAAATGTGCAGTGGACACCTACGGGCTATCTGCCCATGGATCGCGATGATGATTTATAGTATATTTAATTGCATAGTCTCTTAATAATTTTTGTTTATGTATTTGGTGCCAAAGTCATCAACATTTTTCAAAACTTGAGCCACTGGTGTTAAATTAAAAGTGGCAATATAATGAAGCCAATGGCCACCTACAATTTAATACTTTGAGTCAATTGCAAACAACATTCCAATCTCAGAACCCAATTTCTGCTTGTACTTCATGCACACTAAACGAAGACCAACTGGCCATGTCTTCGTGTACATACCAGGTCTACATTACTTATTGTAGGCAAATACAAGAAGAGAGCGTGGCTCTTGGAACAATTCACAACATGCCACTTACAATTTTGTGCTGCAGGCACTGGAACATGGTAATGGAAACATTGTTGCATGATGCGTGATGTCACTGCTGGATAAAAGCCACATCACTATGTAACAATGTGCTACTTTGTTGGATAGCGGTGCATGTGGCCGCGTGGTGTGTCTGTGCCAGCGTGCCGCCCTCTTTACTCACCATCGTGTCCGAGACGTAAAACAGATCTCTGGCCAGTCATCTTGAAAGTGTGCTTCTCATTTGTAATCTTGCCCCAAGGTATCACAATGACACTCTGCTAGACCAGGAGGTGTATAAGCATGGCAACCTCGTGCTGAAAAATCTAAAGACGTCGCAAGCAGGAGAATACTATTGCAAGGCAACAAACATTGCTGGCTCCATAAAATCTTCACCAGCTACCCTATATGTCGTGGGTAAGGACTGCATACTATGTTCTATAGTTTCAATACATTCGTTGCAGTGATTTAAAGGTTATTTTGGGCTCAATGTATGGTTTACTTTGTGCAGTACATTTCCAATTTATTTCATAGAGCACAATCCAATCAAGGTTTTTATTTTATTTTTACACAGTAACTGCGCCTTTGTGCCCACATATTCAATTGCTTTAAGATGTCCCTTTATCAATGTGTCCTGCTGTATGTTTTCATTACAGAAAAGGGTAATTCCCCATGTGACCCAAAGCCTGAGCCAAACTTGATAAGGCTTCCACACGACTGCTTCCAGAAACACACAAACTCGTTTTTCATCGACGTGGGGAATTGTCCCAAGAAGGTGTGCGTCAAGGAACTCGACTTCGACCTGCGCTGCAAGGACAGCGTCAGCCACTGCTGCGGCATCACCAGGATGGAGAAGCGGGACATCCAGTGCAATGGCTACACGCTGCCCACCATGGTGGCGGCCGAGTGCGGCTGTAAGAAGTGCACGCAGACCAAGATGATTGTGCGCGGGAGGGCTGTGGCTGACGACAACGGGGAGCCGATGAGGTTCGGCCAGATGTTCATCGGCAACATTGCCATCGGGTTCACCGGCTACAAAGGCGACTTCAACCTGCAGGTGCCTCCGGGCACGGAGAGGCTCGTGGTGACCTTTGTGGACAGGTTTGGGAAGTTTGTGAACAGCACCAAGGTCCTGCTCTTCAACCACAAGGGAGGAACGGTCTTCCACAACATCAAGTTGCAGAGAAAGAAGCCCGCCATTCCCATCGCTTCCACTGTCACCAACACGATTAGCCTGGGTGAGATAGAGGGGGAGGATCCAGTTGGGCAAATCGAAATTCCGCCCAACTCATTCTACAAGTTGAATGGGGAGCTGTACAACGGCACTGTGCAGGCCAGCGTCACTTTCCTGGATCCACGAAACATCACGACGATGTCGTCTGCCTCGAGCGACTTGAATTTTGTAAATGACAATGGCGATGTGTTTCCCTTGCGTACATATGGCATGTTTTCTGTTGACTTTAAGGCGGAAAATTTGCAGGAGCCTCTGAACGTCGGACAGGTTAAGGTTTTTCTCGACTCGGCACAGGTTAAAATGCCACAGCATCTGAAATCAATGAAACTGTGGTCTTTAAATCCAGAGACCGGGATCTGGGATGAAGAAAGCAACTTCCTGTACGAAAAATCCAAAAGGCGAAAGAGGGAAGAGCGCACATTTCTCATAGGAAACGTGGAAATTAGAGAACGCCGGTTGTTTAACCTCGATGTTCCGGAAAATCGCAGGTGTTATGTTAAGGTGCGTGTTTACAGAAGTGACAGATTCTTTCACAGCGAGCAGCTTGAGGGTGTAGTGGTCAGCCTGATTAATATGGAGCCGCAGGAAGGGTTTTCCGCAAACCCACGCGCGTGGGGAAGATTTGACAGTGTCATCACAGGTAAAAACGGTGCTTGTTTGCCAGCCTTCTGTGATGAGCTGGTCCCGGATGCCTACACTGCCTACGTGACAGCCAACATTGGGGGAGAAGAACTGGAGGCAGCTCCGTCCAGCCCCAAACTGAATCCCAATGTTATTGGCACGGCTCAGCCATACCTAAGAAAGCTTGAGTACCGACGTACTGACCACGATGACGAAAGGTTCAAGAAGACCGCTTTCAAGATTAACTTAGCAAAACCAAATGCGAACTCCCCAGAAGAAATTGATGGGCCAATCTATCCTTTTAAAAACCTCAAACAGTGTGAAGATGCCCCTTACAATGCTAATCATTTCAGATTTTATAGGGTGGAAGATGACAAGTATGAGTTTAATACCGTTGCATTCAACGAAAACGACTTGACAACCTGGAACGAAGATTACCTGTCCTGGTGGCCGAAACCAATGGAATTTCGTGCCTGCTTCATCAAACTGAAAATCAAGAGCTCCGCGACCGTGATGATACGTTCCCGAAACCTTGGGGGCACTCACGTGGAGACAATCGACAAACTCTACGGCATTCGCGACATCCGCAGCGTCCACACCAACCTCAAGGAGAACGTGTCTTCGGCATGCATGGAGTTCAAGTGCAGCGGCATGCTCTTTGACGAGAATCTCATTGATCGCACGCTGGTGGAGATTTCGACGCAAGGCGACTGCCGCCGGGAGAACATAAACGGCATGCTCCAGGAGTATCTGATCAACCACCCACCGCACAATGTCAACAACGAGACGCACGGCTTCAAAATGTACGCGCCTCTGGATCCGTTGGGACACAACTACGGCATTTACACGGTCTCGGATCAGGACCCCAAAATCGCCAAAGAAATCGCCCTCGGCCGGTGCTACGAGGGCTCGTCGGACAGCACGTCCCGCGTCATGAAGCCCGACGTGGGAGTGGCGGTGACGTTCGCGTGCCGCGAGAGCAACGTGACGCGACAGAGCCTCTTCCAGCGCCTGCAGACGTCGCCGGCCGAGACCCTCGCCGAGATGGGGCGCGAGATGCGCGGCGGCCTCCCCGGGAGAACCCGGTTGGTGTCCAGCCGAGTTCAGGGCCGCGGTGGCCGGAGGCAGCAGCCGCAGCAGGCCAGGGCCCGACTCGTGAGCACGCGGAGATTCCTGCAGAGGAATCGGTCCGCTCAGTGATCGCAATGGCATGGTGAACTCTACGACTGAAAGATTGACATGTGGAAATGGAAAAATAAAGCACCCCCCCCCCCCACGTCTTTTTAAACTAAGCCGTCTTGCATTGCACGGGTGGGAAATGTATGGATGGTTTACAGAGATTGGAAGTTATTGACATACGAAGGAAAGATTTTAAGGTTGTTGACAGTCTTACAAATGCATTGAATGTAAAGGTATTTTTGTTTGGAGAGCCGCATGTGCATTTGATTAGCATGAAACTATTAGTGACTATATGAATGAGTATTTCCAAAAAAGTGGTTAAAACATTACAATGTGTGAGAAACATAACATTTTTATTCGAAACGAATTGATTTTGCCAGTGTATAAATAACAATGTGCACATATCGACAGCACTATATGATTACACTGCTTTCTTTACATGGTTTTTTTGTACTAATTAAATACATAAAACATTTCACATTTCTGCTAACGTATGCTTAAATAACATGAAGCAACTGCAATTTGTTTGGCAGCTTATATTTAAAATTTGCCCGCTAATGCAATATCATTCAAAACATTTAAATGTACAATACTTAAACTGAGAAAGCAACTAAATGTGTAAGTAGACATGAATTGATGTGCACATAATCATTACCACGGCAAAGGGTATGCAGACCATTGGAGTTATCATTGACTCCAAACTGTCTTTCTCTTGCCACGTTTCTCAACCTTATTGCTCCATCTGTGCAACATCTTCGGCGTCTGCCATTTCGACATCTGCCAATTTCTCATACCAGCTCATGCCAGCCGCTGCTGAGACCCTCATCCATGCCATCACATCCGAACTCGACTATTGCAACTCTCTCCTCTTTGGCCTCCACATATCCCTCATCACTAAACCCTAGACGATTCAAAATTCCACTGCCAGACTTCTCAACCGCACCCATGAGCAAGACCACGGTAATACAAGCTGCCGTGGGCCCCATTTGCCACCTTCAATATCGTCCATGGATTCACCCTTGGCTCCCTCTGCTTTCTCATTGCGCTCTACCCTCCACCATGCACTTTCTATCCCAAAGCTTTATCTGCTAAATGCCTCCAGTCAAACTTCGCTCATTGTAAGATTGCACAATCTCCTCTGCTGGCTTCTTCGTCTGGGGCTCCCTATCATAAGCTATAAACTGCCTGCTTCTGTTCAATTCCAGCCTCTAGACCTTTATTTATTTTCCCCTATGACCAACTGCACTCTCTTCATAAAATAAACACGCTCACTGCTTTTGTACAGTGTCTTAATATGGGGTTGAATTTAGACACTATACAAATTCAAAGTGTATTGCAGTATTATTTTAGTTTGATATTGAATGATACTGAACCTTTCAGTAATGATAAATATAGAAAAAAATGTCAGGTAATTAGCACTAATATGAACTGTTCAGAAATATGACTATATTATTGGTACATTAACATTTTAAATTTATTTACAGGAACATCGTATGAAGAGAAAATCAAGAGTGTTTAGCTTTGGTACATAACGTTTATAGACTTCAATGAAAAGTTAAATTTTACAACACAGACTGTACTTTGAAATTGCATGTCTGAATTCAGTTTAATGACATGAACTAAATGGGTGCTTCTCTTTTCGAAATTAACTTATTTCCACTTCGTATTGTTTTTTAGATACTAGAGATGAATGATGTACCTAAAATGATGTGCATTAATTTAACCTGAATAGGCTGATGGAGTGTGTATTATCATTTGAACAATTTTACGTTTTTTTTTAAAGTGGAGAAACGTCTACATACTTGGAGTCTGAAGGTTAATAAAAAATATATTTACTGATGTTGTTTTATTTTTTTAGATTAGCTGTTTTATGTACATTTTTCTTTTGGTGGTTTATGCAACAAATAAGCACTTTCTATAAAAGCCCATGCTTGAAAATTCAAAAGAACGCAGTTTACAATGTAAACTTCTACAAAAATAAATACTAAATTGACTGAATAACTGCTTGATAAACGAAAACCAGCTATTGTTGTGTATCTGCTGTGGTATCTTAAAATATTACTATTCACAATATACTAGACTATTTCTAGACATTTAAATAGGGTTAAACTGGCCATTATAGGTGGCCATTTAACACTAATACCAGGTGTAATAGTTTTTCTATTACTACAATTCCATAAACATTTGGTTGCTGTGATGATAGTGCATTGGAAATTCAATGATTTGCAATCTAAAAAACTATTTGCACGATTTTTGGTCCCTTTTTAATGTGTGCTTTAGGCAGGACACATCCCCAGAACGATTCAAAATGAGCACAATAATTAAACCTGGATTCCTATTGGTAGCAAGCCTATTTCTTTGTAACCATCATGACAACATTGAAATCAAATGTATTTCGTAATACATCAGGCTGTTAACACGATCCTAATGTTGGTATGAATACACCGCATCTATGCTTAAACCGTCAAATTATTTGATTTGTAATCTTGAATGAGATTTTCCGGGCATTTCAGTTAAGTGCCATCGTATCTTTGAAGGTGCCGGCAGTTATAAAACATATAGTATTCTCTCATTGCCTAGCTCGACAAGTATTTTGTGTACTGTGTTTAACATCGCAAACAATGTGTGCAGTAATGGATATTGCATTAGTGTAATGAGTTGATTTGGAAAATGTTGATACTCTACAGCACATAAAATGTAAAACAAAATCATGGGCATGCAATGGAGACTCAAAGCTGTGTACATAAATCTATGTACATAAAACTGTATTTACTTTAGTGTACATACATTAATGCTGCATGATTTGACAGTCACGTATTAGGTGTGGTCATTTAAATTAAAACATGTGGAATTTTTTTTTTGCAGATGACGTTCACTCCATTTGCCACAACCAAAATATGGTGACATGTGGATTGATACGATTTTTAACCCATATGAAATACAGCAGTTTCATCACGAACAAATAAGTGATTCACTATGTCTGAGCTATGTTTGGTTAATATGTATAAAGGCTCAGTGTGGCCAAGGCAACTGTCATCTTGTGAATTATTTGTTCATTCATTTTCATCAACTACTTGAAAAAATAGAACATAAAAAGTACAGAATAGCAATGCAAATGTTTTCAAACAACTTTATTTTAATATTGTAAGCTTTGTATTAGAAAACACGTTATTAAAATAAAGACAATATATTCATATTCCAGAAATGTGTGTATTTATGACGCTTGGCTTCAAAATTCGCAAGCAGCATCTGGGCGATTTTATCTTGAGCCAACGTCTTTCCTGGATTCGCAACAATTTTATTTAAGGTGTGGCAGGTGCACATTACACTTGATGTGAGCACTTTCAAAATGTACATTGGCACACTTACTTTAACAGGGTTCTTAAGTGTGTTCTATGCATGTGACTTAATATGATGCGGTTGGATGCCTTCAGTAGTATTGCTGGCACGCTAACATGTGAAGCTGAAGATAAAAGCATATTTAGCGAGTGTTGCTACTGGCAGACAGCCTTGCAGTCAATGCGATGTAAAAAAATACCCAGTGCAGAGGAAAGTAATTCAACAAAAGAATATTACTTAGGATTTTGGAAAGGATCCGATTGCGCCTTTGCAATCAAGATTATGGGTATCATTGTCATTTTGACATTAGCTATTTTTTCATGTTTTATAAGAACATTACGAATTGAGATGCTGATACTTTTTTTTACAAGAAATATGATTCAGCATTCGTCCAAGTGAGAATCTTACTCTAAGTCCGTGCCATCAGTTCGCAACTTGAAATTCCAATACCCCTTGGAGGGTGGGGTGCAGAGGGACGGCACACAGGCAATGACAGTGGTCGCATACTAAGCCACGTTGCTCTTTGTGGACCAGCAATGATAAAGCTATATACTTATCTGTTTCATGGATTTGAAGAAACTTGTGCACTTGGATGTCCTCAGTCTGCCACATGTTCCACGAATGCTCTATTTTCTTTATTACATATATATGGTACAAAATGTACACTAAAATAATTATTCAATTCCAATAGAAAATCTCTCAGGCCTACCTCCTCTACTTCATGGTGATAAGTTAAATTAAGGTTCCTTAATTGTTCGGTTATTAAAAGTTAATTAAACGTCATAGGTTTTAATTATGAGTATAATGTAATAAGCAATTATTCAGTTATTTAATTAATTCTATCATAGCTGGCAGGGTTGAGTGAGCAGTTCATATGTCTTGTAGGGGTACACGGAAAACAAAAGGTTGAGAACTACTGGCCAAGGCCATACTTTCAATATGCGTTATACCGCATTGTTATATTGGCACGTACAGGTACTTTAAATAGCAGCATGATGCCTTAATGTGGACAATTTTGGAAGTGTGGCTGAGCCTCTTGCTGATTTATTTCATTTCTTGAATGGGGTGAGTGACAGCTTGGTAGGACACTTGACAAAAACCAAGCCATCTTCAACTTTCACCTCGTAGACTCTTTGCTAGATAGAACAAGAAAAAAAGGGATTGACATTTTAACAAAAAAAATGCAACTTGGACATATAAAATTGTTATAAAGCACTATTGTTCGTAAAACATTGCATATGCTGCAGTGTTCATCTGCTGGGCCAATATTGTGTTTACCTGTAGTCCGGTGTCTGACTTTCCAGTTTTTACATCAAACTGATAGTAGTGCCAAGGGCACGTAATCTTCAAATCCCCTCCTATGTCTTCAATGTCACCTTCGTTTAGTGGTCCACCTTTATCGAACAAAACAATTACATTTCAACATTTACGAGACCGAAAACATCCGTTGAGGGACACGCTATATCCCCCAACATTATATGAAGACAAAGTGTATTTAACCCAAGTGATCGCCACAATATATTGACAAATATGCTGAGTATGTGTTGATATTTTTTGTTGTTGTTTAAATCAAACGTCGTTTGATCTCTATAAACAATAGCCAATTTATACCAGAAGTAGCATCCCTTTTCAACGGAAGTCACCCCCTTTCGTGCTCCTGGTATTCTCCAAATCTCACCGCACCATGAATATGTTTTTGATATCAATGAATACGAGGCTAAACTTAAAATCAAAGACAAATACAATCGTGACAATGGGTGACCACACAAAGCAAATCCCTCCCCATGAATACGCACACCCGTCAACCCCTGATCAGTGCCTACCTTGTTACTGACCAATTCGGACATTATTGGTCACCCCGTGCCCCGAATAAATCTCAAAGTTCATCCTACAAAGTCCCATCACCAGGGAGAAACACCAGCAAAGAGACACACAAAAAAATTATTGTTCCTAAACAAAAACTGCTTCGTGTATTATCTACAGAACCTCCGCTGGCACTCAGCTGTTAGCCAGCAGTGGGGCTTTCCATAAATAAGCGGTGGCTTTCTGCCATCACCACCAATAATAACCAGACCAACCACACAGGACGGACAGCAGCAGAGAGACGCACAGCCCCTAAGCTGGCACGCAGCGGAGGCGGCGTCGGCGCTGAAATGACAACAAAACCTTGATGCGGGCAGCAGGCGTCCATGGCGTGTAAGGCATCCCGTGCGGCGTCGTGAATGATCGCCACGTCTCGCTCGGGTCCCGACGAGGAGAAGAGACGTCTGCACGGCGTCTTCTCCAGCTCGGCTCTCGGGCCCGCCAGCTGCCAGGCCTCCTCCACGGCTGTTGGCTCGTCCGTCCGTGGAGCGACGTGCTCGCCTGCGCCGCTCATGATTTGTGGTCAGGGTGGTTTCCTGGAAGTCCGTCCGCACATTTGCGAGCACCACCACCACCACAACCACCACAACCACAACCACCACACACACACAGCAAGCCGACGGCTCTCTCGGCGTTAGGGAGATGAAGAGCGGACGAGGAGGGAAGGAGGCGCTTCTTGGTTTGGTGTCGCGGATGCGCCCGCTGCTGCTCAGCGGCTAATGACTTTAGATGTGGCGCGGTGTTATTGGGGACGGGTGGGTTGTTGTTGTTGTTGTTTTTGTTGTTGTTGTTCGCCCCTGTTCTTACATTTGTCGTGTTAAAACAACGCCCGGGCTTCGTGAGCTATCCCGGACGGAATTGTCAGGAGCAAGGGAAATAATGAAGAAGGGTTGCTATAGGGTGATGATACAGCGTGTTTAGAGAGTTGTTTAAAAACAGCGCAGTTGTTGCGTGCTGCTGCTAAGTGGCATTCCAATGAGGTCGAGGTGAGGCTTGTTTTCTTTTTACAAGTTGAAAAGTGAAGTTGTTTCCACAATGCACTGTCTCCCCCCTTCATAGTCCCTGACAATTGCTACCAAATACCAAACCAACAACGGTGTATTGTAAAGCCCTTGTAAAGACGTAAACCATCTTCATCGTTGACATCATCATGTGCGGGTGCGTTTACATATGTAAGTTATTGTTGAGCGCCAACTACAACGATCTGTTTTTGATGGGACATGGAGGCAATGTAAATCGGTATTTAGGTGTTTGTCCGCAACCCATCATCATTTTTGGAGGTCGATAAAAAAACACAACCGAGTACCAATTTATTGTTAAGCCAACAGTGGGTGTCCGGTTTCATGGTCCCCGCCATATGAACGTGGAATGTTTCACTCCTGGTTCAAGGACCATGGATTGACACGCCGACACGTGCACCTACCTCTACATTTGAATTACCAGTACGAGTACTATATGGTACAGTTAGTATTTTATTAGCACAGGTCAAACGCAAGAGTACTGTTATTAGTTCTCAACGCAAGTCAGTGGAGTCGTTCTGGTACAGTGGAACTCGAGTACAGGTCATGCGCCGTGTATTATTAGCACGGTTATATAAACACAAACTAAACTCTTTTTTTAACCTTTAACAGCTAAGACCCACTGAGTTATTTTTGTTCAGAAGGGACCTGGCCATAAATTATATCTCAACCAAGTGTGGGTGGGTGTTTTTTTTGTATCACGTGGACATATATCGTAACGAATTAACACGTGTATGTTTACCTGACCTCACTAATTGGCTGTGTCGGGTGGTGGCGGGTTCAACGACACATTTACATTTTCGCGATCTAACCACCCAAACACCCCCCCCCCCCCCCGTATTATGGATGATACTGGTCGCGAAAGCCTACGAGTTAAACAGTCTGTTTACATATTCTTATTACTCTTCTGTTTACAGCCTGTACGAGCGGGGGAGAGTGTGGTGGTGATGGTGGTGGATCTTCGCCTATGTTGGTTGCACGCACGTTTGGCCGTGACGGCGCTAAAGCCGATTTCACAAACGCGTTTCTGTGCGCGCGGCGGCGGCAGCGGCGGCGGCTTCTTCGTGCGCCGCTTGCCGTAGTCCGCCATAAGCGGCACCGCCAACGGTGGCCGTGATTGCGATTGAACCGTCGCCTGCACGCACGCGCACGCACGCACGCACGCGCGCGTCAACTTTGACGTCGCTGTGGCGTTCACGGCGGCGGCGGCGACGACGACGAGAGCAATTTGCTGAGAACACCTCCCTCCTCCTCCACCCTTCCCCACCCACCGCCTACCTCCTTCGCCTGTTGTTCACGCGTAAGGGCTCGCCCCATGGAGCGCTTCGAGGAGGGGCTGGTGGCGGCCCTCAAGGACGCGGTGCGCGGCTTGGGCTGGCAGCGCGCGGGGCCCGCGGGGCGACTCGCGGCCCAGCGCTGCACCAAGTGGGTCCCCCCGCCTCCCCTGTAACCACCAAGTGGGTCCCCCCTCATCTCCCCACCTCCCACCCCTCATCTCCCCACCTCCCACCCCTCATCTCCCCACCTCCCACCCCTCATCTCCCCACCTCCCACCCCTCATCTCCCCACCTCCCACCCCTCATCTCCCCATCTCCCCACCTCCCACATCCATCCAGGGCCCCCCCCCCCGCCATTCCCCCACCCATCCACCCCACCCCCGGGGCCAGATGTTTTATTCTGCGATAATTGCGTTTGGAGTGTTTGGTTGCGAAACGTCTACACACGCTGAGAAGCCACGCCGTTGCGTTATTGTTTGTGGCAAGGTTTCTTCTGAAAAGGAAGACGCTAATAGCTCGGTGGGCTTTACCTGGTAAAATAAAGTGTTTTTTTTTTTGTGATATGTTGAACTTCTTTCGCACCGTACGTAGCCAACCGTGCTAATCGGAGGTGCAGAGGACGGACAACAAACTAGACACAAAAATGAGTTGTAAAGAAACGAGTTTTAAATCTAGATTTAAAAGTGCAAAGCGCCAGTGGCTTACCTTTGCTATCTTTGCACTCCTGTCGTGTTTTTGTATTGTAACTTTTTGACCCGCCGCCCCTACTGGACATCTGTGGAAAAGAGCTTACTAGCTCATCGGATTCCTCCAGCCCAAATAAAGATTCTGATTCTGTATAGGAGCTACATGTCGATGTTATGCTGGCCACGATGAAAGAGAGAGAAGAGAGGGCAGTGGTTGACTATCTGGTCAATAGTTTTGGTTGCATGGCCACAATCGCATTAACATGGCTTGTCTTTCACACATTCCATTTATAAAGGAGCTGTACGTATCAGCTTGTGAAATTATATTTAACTTCAAACCCAACACGTGTGTTAATAACTGCCTGAAGAGGATTTTTTTTGTATAGACGCAACGTTTCCGGCAATGGACCTCAATTGCATAAAATAACCCTTTTACGCAAATTGGATAATACGAATTGAAGATTGTTCTTTAATCATTGGGCCCAACAAGAATAGCCTTTTTACAAAGTTTTGGCATGACCAGTTTTCAATTGCCATGTTAATTATCTCAAGTATTTGGTAATATATAAATCCTTCCATTGTTAAAGAGGATGACAAAGCAAATATTAAAATTATGAAATGTTTCCTGGCACATTTCATCGTGGGAAGATTTGTTTTTTATGATCACAGGGGGTTATCCACTTGCCAATGCAATAATTCCTAGGCCCAATTGTCGGTACCAGCTGAGGTAGCATGACTTTTCTGGTCACAATGTCTTCATGTGACCAATAACAGGAATTATATGATAATTTGAAATTAGCGGTTCATCAAATAATTCAGCCTAGCCACATAAATACAGGACTTCAAAAGTTACCACCTGAGGTGGTACCAATTTCTGCTCTGGCCCATGGGCTAATTGTTTAGCCAGACAAGCTTCACCGAGTCTCAATACTTTTTTCAGGAGAGTCCTGCCAAGTATCCGCAGTAGGGGAAATGCTATGCGTATTCCCAATGTGATTTGCGGTAAAATTTCCAGCATCGGGATGTTTTCGCCAACTCCAGTTATGTTGTGTGGTTTTTTTTCAGCGATGGAAGGAAACCCAGGGGAGAACGTACAAACTCCACACAGAAAGGCTTAAACTCGCATGCACACAGGGATTCATTTTAGCTGGAGCTGTCCGGGGATGATTTCCAGAAAATATTCCATGAGAAACTAAGCAATGTATGAGGATACTGGAGTAACTTACAATTAGCTGTTTAATTTGGTGCATCATTTGGATTCCAATATTGTGCAATATAAGATTACATTACACCGGTGTGTTGGAAAGCAAATCCACAACATTTGCAATCTGGGTATGATGTTTCGCCAGTAATTACAACGTAATCTCATTTACGTATGGTGACCTGTATAGGCATGCATTTAAACAATGTTTTATTTGATGATTCGCTTCCAAGCAGCACTAAGCCTGGAGCTATCCAAACGATTAAAATTATTTTTAATTCTATCAATTTCGATATATTCTCGAATTAGTCTTGGCTAGTAGTAACGAGTTTTGCATAGAACTTCAACATTATCAAAATAAATTGAGTGCCTTTGTTGGCACGCGTGCTCTGCCACTGCCGACAGTTGTATTTGGGAGTATTTAATATTCCTTTGGTGTTATTTTAGTATCATGCTGATGATTCGTCCTGTCTGCCCAACATAGCATTTGCAACAAGAGCAATTAATCCAGTACACACATTCTGTTGATAGCTTTGGTAATGCATCTTTATTACCAGATATTAGTTACCGTATTTTATGTACCGTGCCAAAATCTGACTCGGATCTTTTGTTTTTATATACACTGTTCATGCAGTGACCAACAGTACAACATTTTCCCTGTTAAAACCAGCATGGGGCAGGTAGTCATGTACATTGGTGGCCCTCAACCAGTGGTGAAAGTTCCATATTGACAATTGCTCTTTGTAAAAACAAACTGGTTCAGTGGCGAGTGCACTTACAGTTTGACAATGCAGTGGAGAGACAACGGCCACATGCCCAGAACCACTGGGAGGATGCTGGCAGCACATGCATAATGGACAGTCTCCCATTCCAGAAGATCTGTTGCTCTAGTAACTTAGTGTCAACAGCACTATTGGAAATACACGTGCTCAGGATCATTGGCCATTACTCTCACTTAATCCACTTCACATGAAGCATCATATATTACTATTTTTGGCTTTTATTTTCCAGAAAAAGCATCAGTTGAAGAAATAATTTAGCTCTTTGAGGAATTCCTTGACCTGTATCGTGGAATGTGAGGAAACTGGAGTGCCTTTTGAAAACACATTCAAATAATGCAAAATACTGAAAGGTTCACACAGACTGGTTTGCAAACCTATTTGCTCGACTGTCATCTTCTGGCCATAAACATTTCCGTGGTCCACCAACCCTTGCCTCCAAAGCACTGGATCACAGGATTACATTACTACTCCTGGTTTGGTGTGCATTTTTGTATTTTAACTTGTAAGGACCATTTTAATTTGCATCTCATTTTTGTTTTATTCATACAGTATTTAAAATGTGTTGCAGACCATTTTACAGATGATTGGTGCTTTACATTTATTTTTTTATCTCCACTTCTGATTGGCAGGTAAAATCATCAAGTGTTCCCTAGAGAACCGTGAAGAACTATACATAATTAACATTTTCGTTAAATTACCCAATTGCATCACACCGCATTTGAGGAAACAGCTCTCGGTTCACACATGGATCACCGAGCACGGCTGCTGCGAGCCTTGACAGCGTTCCCCCTGGAGCAGTTTGTCACTTTCGGGGAGCGTCTCTTTCTTTTCCTTGAGCAACTCTTGGATGTGGAGGAGTTCGATGGGTGGTCCCGCTTGAGGAGGAGAGCTGTGATGCACCAGTACGACCTGCTCCGGGCCCGGTTCCCCATGGTTCCACGCACCGTGGTGCCCGTTCGGCAGCCACGCCGCATGTGGATGCGCATCCGCACCTCCACCTGGTGGGAGCAGACATCTTCCGGCAGCGACGAATGGATGAAGTATTTTCGGGTGAGCAGGTCCATGTTCCACCGCATCGTGGAGATGGTGCGCTCAGAGATGGAACCGCCAGCTTTTCAGGTGCGCAGCCCGGTCCCTTTGGAGAAGAGGGTCGGGATTGCCTTGTACAAGTTGGCAAGCTACGATAAGTACAGGGAGGTGGGGAATATGTTTGCTGTTCACCGAAGCACCGTCCACAAGTACTTGTACAAATTCTGCCGGGTTATGGTGGAGCTCCATTTGCAGAACCAAATTGCTCTGCCGAATGAGCATGAAGGTCGGCGCATTGCCCGGGGCTTCTGGGAAAGATTCTCCATCCCCCAAGTCATGGGGATGATTGGCAGCACGCACATTCCCATCACCCCACTCCGCGGCTGCATCCAAGATTACATGAACCGGAAAGAATGGCCTTCGTTAGTGCTGCAAGCTTTGGTGGATGATAAGTTGAGGTGAGATGTTTAGTCTTGCACAAATGAGCAAACCAAATGCCCCACAGATGTTCACCGACTTTTTCTGATTTTAAGTGTAGTTAATATATGGATTCATGCATATGGTTTCTTTAAAATATGTTTGGTACAGCCACATACAAAACTAAAAAACAACCTTGTGCATTGTCATTGGGAAAGGTTCCGGGACATTAGCTGTATTGCTCCGGGTACCACACAAGAAGAGGTGGTGCTGAGACAGTCTGCTCTCTACGCCAACTCGCATTTATTGCCAGAGGTACATTTATTCTTCTGATCCTGTTTTAGTCATCTCGAATAATGACAGATAAAGGTTTGTTTTGTCATCATTTGGTGATGTACAATTTCAAATAATACAGTTTATGTCCACATTTCTGCATAACCCAGAGTGGAAATGTCATTTGCTTTGGAAGAACCTTTACAGCATTTCCAAAATAAATGTATTGTCACATTTCCGAGAATACATTTTCAGAAAACCCATGCAGCAGATATTAGTGATTATTTACACTGTACTAGAGTATGCATTGGAAAGCAACAATCCAGAACCATTGATATTAGCATTAAGATTTGCTTAGATATTTAGACTGCTTACATTGTAATGCATACCTATTCAATCATTATTAGTCCTTAGTCCACTGCTGGATAAATGTCTCCCCATCCCATATCAGTTGTCAGGGCTGTTTAACCATACTTAACCATGCTGGTCAGGTTGGATTAGTGACTTAGGGCAGGCCCAGGAACAGTTCAGATATCACTCACCACTGATATGGCCAGGAGTTGAACTGAAGTCGCCGGGTTTATAATGTAGTGTGACATCCACTGTCCCACCATTTCACCCCAGATGCCTTTATGATTCTACTCATCAGATGGAGAAATTAAATCTTGGATGGAAAATGGTCAAGCAGTCTTCCTAACGGTATATTTTGGTGTGTGCTTGTTGTACTCTCCAGTGTCCAATGGAAATCTCGGGGGTTGAGGTCCCACTGCAGATTTTGGGTGATGCTGCCACACCATTGCTGCCATGGCTTCTGAAGGGTTTCTCAGTTGAAAACCCCACCCCAGAGGAAGCCTTCTTCAACAAGCACATTTCGAATGCACGTTCTGTTGTGGACTGTGCATTCGGGCGTCTCAAAGCTCGTTGGAAAATTCTGTTGAAGAGGATGGAGGTGAATCCTACCTTTGTGCCACACGTTGTTGCCACCTGCTGCCTGCTTCACAACCTGTGCGAGGAGCATCACGAAGTTTTCAGGCAGCAGTGGATGGAAGATGTGGAAGAAGCAGAAGGCGAGCTTCCACAACCAGAGTCTCTGCCAAATAGACCTTGTGCAGATGAGATTACTGATGTGCGTGATGCACTTTGCAGATTCTTGGCAACCAGTCCTGAGTTTACATATAGTCTTCACAGACAATAGCTATATTATAAATCTTGCAGTCTCACAACTGATTTTACTTGTTTTTTTATTTATGTTGTTTTGAAGGGCATTTCTCAATTTAGCACACTGCTGGATGATGCCTATTGGTGATGAAAGTTATTTCTCAAGGTTATGTGTTACAGCGTTAATTAGGATTCATTGACATTGCTAAAAATAACTGCAAGACAGCTGAGTTTTGATAACCATGCTGCCTTTCAAAGGTTGATTCTGTTGGTGGTGTGTAGAACACCAGCCACTCCCATTGTGAGTGGTGTGATTGTGCCGAGTGCAAGGGGCATGCTATATATGGTTCAATCACAATTCAGGAAATGTGCCCCTTGCCTGCGTACTGAAACGATTAAGATCAAACAAGTGCTTGGTTCAGTTGTTGCTCACCCCTGGTTCAGGTGAATAGACAAGGGCAGAGTTTGACAGCATTCCATCCTTAATTTGACCACTGGAATTTAAGATAATTCCCTGTTTAAATTGTATTAAGTGCAAGGTGACAATCACTTCGTACAATATAGGTAGGGTAAAAGTGAGAGTCAATCATTATATTTTTGTTATTTATAAATACAGGCTTTTTATGGATAACATACCAATTTGCAATTTACAGTTTTAAACATTTTTTAAAATGTCACCCGTTTAATTTTAAAGCATGAACATGGTTTAAAAATATATTTCTACATATCTGTATTTTATGTTATCAGGAATAAATGCATAGTCTCTTTTACATGCTTGGAAAAAATATATTACAATAACAGCGAGGAAATCTTTAATAAAACTGACTACAGATTTAGTGGTGCATTTGACACTATACTTTTAAATTGGCCTGTGAGCCTTACTGGCAAGGTCTGATCACATCTGTTGCACATGCACACATTTCCACGGGCCTATGCCAGATGTATTTTCCATGGTTTTCAAGACCAGCAGAGATACCTACGCACTTAATTCCGTTGCACAAATGGGCACGACTTCATCTAAAAAATGTCAATTTGTATACAAAAGCTTGATTGCCTTAATTTGTTATTGGCTTAGAATATACAATTTGCCAACAATTAGGTTGAGTGTATTTTTATATGTAGCAGAATAACTTTTTTGATTAAAATGTAATGCTGTTGCAGATACTTATGGTATAGCAAACAGTGATATTATTTTTTCATAATTTTTGAATGTTGCAAGGATATTGAAGTGAAGTAAAACAAAATAATTGATATAGGTAGTGCAGTTTTAAATGTTGACTTTACTGTGTTATTTCAAATATGTCATGTGAATATTAAGAGAACTGTACATGTATTTTATACTTTGTAAAGTTATTAAATGTGTTTTTGCAAAGGTACTGTGCATTTTGATTTCTTCATGCCTTAAATTGTGCAAGTGTTTTGAAAGATAAACCATTGCAGTACTTAGTTTTTTTCACGAAATTGTTAAATGTAGGTTCATTTGACATTTTAAGTACTGTATACTGACGAGAGGAATAATGCTGCATCGATTCATATAGGTTCTTAAGCTCTTAATAAATATATCGAAATGTGTTTAAAGATTCAGCTAAATGTACCACAATATAAAACATCAATTGATTCTGGAATTTAATCGCAACAATGAATCGGTGACATTTAACACCCCTAACAATGACTGGTTTATTTTTATTCTACATTACGTCTGTGAATATTTTTTTTCCATCGTGGTATCAGAATACAATGTCAGGCAGAACATTTACTGTAAAAAAAATATAGAACAAGTCTTTATCGCATGAATAAGTGACTTGTGGAGAATTGTTGACATGGTCTTGCATTGATCCTTACCAGGCCAACGTGTGCACTTAATCATGTAACCCAAGTGAAAAAAAAATCCCTGCTACTGCAGTTGTGAACTTGGTCAACCTGATTGGTGCTTTTTTTCCGTGATGGCAGCGACTTGAAAACAGGTTGAGCACATTATACTGTGAATCAATGTCTTGTGCATCTGAGCATATAAAGTATTACATAAAGTTTACAGTTACCTATTCTAAGAATGTGTATTGAAAGGTTAATTTTAATAAACACCTCTGTGTACATGTTTCATTCTTTAGCGTCTGAATTCAGCACTTGCAATAATTTAACATGCATTTAAGTGCACTATCGTACAACACTTCAAAAGGTCAGTTTAACACGTAGGCTTTCGCAACCAATGTTCATTATTGAGGTTTTTTTGGGTTATGATCGTGTAAATATATTAATGTGTCGTTAAAACCCGCCACTACCCGATACAGCCAACTAGAGAGGGTTGTCACGTAAACAGAACGTGGCCAATTCGTCACTAGTACAGCACACCGGTATGTTGGAGAGCCAAGCCACAACATTTACAATCTGAGTACGACGTTTCGCCATTGATGAAGCTAGTTGTAATTACTATCGAAACATCGTAAATGTTGTGGCTTGGCTCTTCAACACACCGGTGTGCTGTACTAGTGACGAATTGGCATGTTCTGTTTATGTGACAACCCTTACTGGCCGGTTTTAACGACACATTTATATATTCACATCTAACCCAGAAAACCCTGGATTTCAAAACGTAATTTTTGTGACTTAAAGCTTCCGTGATTGCAGGAATTCATATTCTTTGGTTCTTTCGGTAAAGCCACGTAGATAGGTTCAAAGAAAATGACAAAACTATGACGTTTCGATCGCAACACAAGTGTTCGTCATCAGGAAGAGGGGGTTAGCTTCTAAAGACAACTGCTATAAAGGTTTGAAATGGGCGTAGCCCAAATGTCAGCAGCCAATGGTAATGTGAGTGGTGGGCAGCGACCGCGACGGTGGTGGGTTTTCCCACCAATCAAAGGGCTGCCCGGTAAAAATTAGCATGATAATGTGAGATCGTTGAGAGGCCTGCCCGGCGGGCGCCCTGAGGTGGCTATGTTAATGTGAGAGATTAGCATGTCAATGAGGGATTAGCATGTTAATTGGAGATCGCAAAGCAAAAACCTCGAGCTCGGTGAGCGAGGTGGCTTTGTTAGGGTAAGAAATTTAACCTTTTAACGTGAAATCAGAGAGCCGAAAATAACGAACATCGGAAGGTGGTAGGATGGGAACATCACAGCTAGTTATTACTTAAACTGGTTGATAACGTCCTTCCAATGATTGCTCAGTTTATACCCATCTCGATTCAAATTGTGTCTGTGTCTATATATATGGATGGCTTCATGAACGAATTGTTGTTGATAGCCAGTGGGTTTGTAAAGTACCTTCGTCTTAGATATATAAATTTCGTGTGAGCCCACCATATTAAAACAATGATCATCCACGAGTCAGGTATTGTTCCTACCGTGTTTCAGATCTGCCTCATGTTAACGAACACGGTCTGAGACATGTCGCTTGGTTTCCCCAATGTAACTACTGCCGCAGACAGCTTAGTTTGTAGACGCTGGGGTATTGCATGTCAGGGATCACATCCTTCACAGATGGGATCAGATCACGAATTTTACGCACTTAAATCGAACCTGGATCTTGTGTTTGCTCATGATTTTGGAAATATTTTTTGGTGACCCCTGCTATGTATGGCAAGGTGATGCTTTTGAATGGGTCTTCATCTTCAAAGATGTTACCTTACACTGCACACTATTCTGTATTATAATACGAAGGTCTGCGTGATATGTGTATATGGTGATGTAAACTGTGAATTCAACTTGTATGTCATTTGTGTAATGATATCTTTTTAGCCTTTATTTTGTACCAAAATAAATGGGCAGTGTTTCTTTAACATCTGGAACGTTCTAATTGGATTACAGATTATATTCTGAGGATGGAGAACACATTGTACTGGTCTGCACAGAAGATGGCACATTCTATGCCATGGATTCTGCATGCCCACATGAAGGTACAGTACAGCACTAAAACAGCCCTCATTTTGCGTTATGTTTGAGCACAATTATGTTATTGTTTCAGTGTTTGCTCACGTACCAGTGGAGCAATGAAAAACAACATTGTATGAACTGGTAGTGTGTGCGCGCGCGCGCGAGTATAATATAAATATTGATGGGTATTTAGATAGGCATAAAACTATTTCATCTGCTTTCATTCAGGGCCATGACTTTATGTTTGGCCGTGGTGTGATGCTTAAGCACACTGGACTTGTGCAATCCCGGAGGTTTCCGGTTCGATTCGATTTCTCCCAGCGTGCCGGTTGAAACAATGGGCATGGGTTTTATTTTTGTGAATCCCCTTCACCTTTGTCCACCCAGCAGTATATTGTACATTAGTAGACCACAGTCAATCGGCAGGTCACCTACGGTGGGGTAATGTGTGGCCAGTGTGGAACAGGAAGCAAACGACTCTAGAGGAGTCTTTTTTTAACGCTCCCTCCAATGGTGGCCCTTCTGCCAGCAGTGATGTTGAGCAAGCAATTGCAGGGATGCACCGATTTACCATCATGACGTTGACCTAAAGCAGGGGTCACCAAACTATGGCCCGCGGGCCGGATCCGGCCCGCAACGTCAGTCCATCAGGCCCGCCGTCAGAGCCTACGCTCTGACGTTACCATGGTTTCCATGGCAACACACACAAATACGCATCTTTCCCGCCCCCCAGTATTGAACAGAATGATTATGCGGCCCGCGATCGTCATTCTATCAGTTATCCGGCCCGCTGTGAAAAAAGTTTGGTGACCCCTGACCTAAAGGTATAATTTGCACGTACTTTACTATCATTTGCATGATACCTTTCACACATTGCACCTGGTCCTTGCATGTACAATTCCATGCATGTTTTGTGAGCTGAAGTATCAATTTAAATCAGTAGTTACATGACTTCACATTGTATTGATATTCTCTAGGTGGTCCTCTTGAGTTGGGGGACATTGAAGATCTGGGGAGTGGCAAGCTCGCACTTATCTGCCCGTGGCACCATTTTGATTTTTGTCTCAATACAGGGGAATCGTCTACAGGATTGAAGGTACAATTTCTTTGGGATATTTGTCTTAATAATCCTTTAGCCAAGAAAGTATCACTGTGCACCAATTATCCTTTTTTTTATGAGGGTCCTGGAATGTTTGGTGATTTCATGAGCCTCTTATTTTGCAATGTGAGTCGACTGGGAGTACAGAAGAAAACCCCATCCATTACAGAGAGAGCGCACTCAAACATATGTCGAGATAAATGAGCTGCACACTTTTCTGTATGGCTGTCTACTGGCCACCGTGTTGCTCTGCAAGCTGAGAGGCCCATGGATATGTCCATCAACCCTAGGCTCCAAAGTGTGTAACATACATCCTTTAAAATATACACTAACGCTGATTCGTCACTTTTTTCACAATTGGTAAAAACAAGGGATATATTAAAGAAAGTGCCAATATGTAACGTATGTGTTTTCTTTCTACTGAAATGTATCATGTTAATATAGTATAACCATAATCAACATACACCACGTTTAACAGCTCGGGTAAATTTACATTTTTGCAGATATAAGATCGTTATTTTAAGCATATCTTTATACTTTATTATTCACAACACAGATGTTTAAGAAAGTCAAATGTTCATTGTTTGTATGACACTTGTGTGAAAAAAGTACCTGTTATACTGGAATCGTTGAAATATAACATTTTACACGGCAAAATATTAATTAAAAGTGTACCATTTTGTTTTTCAGAATCAGGTTTACGAAGTGACTGTTGTTGATGGAAATGTTTACATTAAAACCGAAAACATGTTATCGATTTCTGACACTGGTCAAAGGGAAGATGTATGTAAAGGTATGCACATGCTTGGCATACAAAGCCATATTAAGGTTTAAACCCATTTTAAGAATATGCAATTTAATCTTGTGTTGAGTGTCGTTAAACAAATAATAAAATCACTTACCCCGGGAATGCCTTGAGTCTCAAAAGGAGCCTCTATTAGGACATTTAGCCAACTCCTTGGTCACGCTGAAAATGTTATGTTACTTTTAGAATTGTATCACAATGATAAAATGACAATAATGCACAGCCTTCTTGCTAAGCTAGAGATTCCAGTAAGGAAATGGGCACTGCATATCCATTTTATTGTTTTTATATAAATTGCTGACAATAAACTACACGGTCATATGTTACAACTAGATCCCGTGGTAAAGATGCTCGCAAATTCCATTTCTCTTACTCCAGTCAAACGCTCTGAAGTGAAAAATCCTCATCAAACTATCAATTGTACGTTTGTGACCATCTTGTGGTGGCAATCAGCGTCCATTGTGTACAACATTCGGTTTCTTTTGCATTCCTGATGCATGAAAACATTTTACGTAAAGTCAGCTGGTATTCCAACATCCGGCATCGACAAATGGAAACTATAGATGTTCCTTTATATTATTGTTGTTTATTTTACTCTGAATACCCTTTTACTCTGTAAACATGAGTCTGGAGGTATTTACCGTGACTTTGATGCCATTCCTACTTATGTTATTCACGGGGATGGCAATGCATTTCATTATATTATATTTGCGATTAATTGAAGAAAGGTGCACACTGGTGCAGGAGCTAGACGATTGTATAACAAGTTGTAATTGGAAAACCTCTGCACTTGATCTGTCGAATGGTACAATGTGCCAATTCAGGGCATTCTTTAGTAGTCTAGCGAGTTTCATGGCCCAGTAATTATTTAAAGATGGAATTTACATTTTTTTAAATGAAGCCACCCAAGAAGAAAGTGTTTTAAATTTTGATTTAAAGCTTTCGTGACTGCAGGGATTCATGTTCTTGGTTCTTTCGGTAAAGTCACGTAGAAGGGAAACAATAAAATAATAAAAATATGAAACAATAAAATTCTCACGACGTTTCGACTGCAACACAAGCAATCATCATCAGGTGTGAAAACCACAACAAGACATTTTATTGTTGTGGTTTTCACACCTGATGATGATTGCTTGTTGTGGTTTTCACACCTGATGATGATTGCTTGTGTTGCAGTCGAAACGTCGTGAGAATTTTATTGTTTTATATTTTTATTATTTTATTGTTTTCCCTTCTACGTGACTTTACCGAAAGAACCAAGAATATGAAACAGTGTTTCATTTCATATTTCCATGATTACTTGTAAAAACTGTAGAATG